GCAGCCAATCATGGTTCTCTCTCATCATTGATGTTTCTCTCTCTCCCTCTCCCTTCCTCTCTGAAATCAATAAATATATATTAAAACAACAACAACAAAACCACAAAACCCCCACAAGACTTTTCTCCAAAAGACAGCCTCCTCGGCTCTGGGAACATATGACAGGCTTACAGACTAGCTCCCCGCCGTCCACTCTCGGGCCAACATGCTGTCTCTATGGAACGCGGGTTCAGGACAAATGAGCCAGCATCTCCCGGGGTGTCCAGAAGGAAGGCCCGTCACAGTGCTCTCCTGGGGTCACGGGGATGCATTTGAGAAAAGGGGAAACCCAGGCCACAAGGGGGACCAGTGCACCTCTGCCAGGCCAGTGTGGGGAGAGCGGGCCAGGAGCAAGGAGGTTGGGGGTCTGTTCTGACAGCCGGCTTCCGGCATGCATCTCACCCAGTCCCCAGTTGGAAAGTAGAATCAAATCTCAGAGGGAGGCCTTTAAACTCCTGGCTTCCCTCCTCCGCGGCTACATGGGGACCGTAAGCTGTCATGTTGGGGAAGATAGCTGAGAGGATCCAGGGAAAGTCCCTGGCCCCGGGCCTGGCCCGCTCAGAAGCCGATTTTGTATCATTCTAGTTGTTACTGTTGATGCCGGTGCTGCTTGGCTTCTGCACAGGTGTTTGGTAGAATAAAAAGAATTTATCAAGCCTTAGTGTAACTCAGCGAGAAGGCATCATTGTTTTGCTCTTGTCAGGAGCTGCCCGTGGAGAGATCCAAGGTGACTCTCACAATTCGAACACTCACCCGGGTGTGGCAGGATACCTAGACCCGCGTGATCAAGCGGAAAGTGACAGGAGGGTGTTGTGGGTGGGGTGGGGAGCAGCCTGTTGAGAGACAGAGCCGGGGGAAGGCATGCCACGGACTAAGGAGCAAGAGTTCATGGCATCCTACTGACTCGGCCCAGCGAGCCACTGCAGAGAGCAGCGGTGCCGGCTGGTCCTGGGCTGCTGAGCTAGCAGCTCGCTTTCTGGGCTCATTCCGGAGGAAGGAGCCACGTCACTGTCACTCGGGGGCTACGGGCCACGCTTCAGGCTAGCACAGCCCTGTGGCCCCAGGCTTCACCGCTCTGCAAGAGTTCGGATCCTAGCCATGGCGTGTGTTTTCAGGAGTGAGATTTCCGGGGTTTATTACTGAATTTCAAGCCTTGGAATAAGTCAGTCTGTGTTTCCTCGCTTTGGCAGAAAGGGGTTTGGCTGATTAGAGTTTTTGACATTTGTTTTGCATTTTCCCTGGGAGGGCATTCATGTGCGTAGAGAAGGGGAGCTGGACTCTCTAAGGGAGAGGAGAGCCATGGAAGCGGGAAAAGAAAAGCTACTGCTCTCGGCATGTGGCCTGGAAGAGTGTAGTGTTTGGAGCCGGACTGCCTGGCTCGAGTCCTGGCTTTGCCTCTCACTGCCTGTGACCTTTCCCTCCGTGAATCTCAGTTTTCTCATCTGTGAAATGGGCACGAGAATGGTACCAGAACAGGGCTACTGTGAGGATCAAGTGAGAAGTTCACGGAAAGCACTGAGCCCCATGCCTGGCCCTCGGTCAAAGCTGGGCAGGTGGTATTCGCTGCCCGTGGGCTGCCGGGGCACCCACGGAGCTACCGGGGATACTGAGACCCGGTGGGTCCTGCGAGGGGAAGACGAAGGGCATTTCTGAATCCCACCCATTTCGTGCTTAGGACAAGAGCTTCCTGTTTCTATTGCTTATGATTCCGAAACCGATGGTGCCAATTTCTTGCGCTTTTCCTGAAGGTCAACAGGAAAGGCAGTCCCAGGGGAGCCGGGCAGCTTTCAGAGGTAAACGCATCCCCCGCCCCCTCCATCCGGTGGGAGAGGCTGGCCCTGCACACGGCCCAGACCCCAGGGACACTCACTCGCGCAGCAGCAGGTCCTTGAAGTGGATCATCTCCACCATCACGCGGGTGTTGTCGCGGGCGGCCGCGCACAGGTCATGCTTGAGGTAGCATTCCCGCTGCAGCTGCAGCACCATCTCCCTGATGGCCGGGCACTTCCGGCTGATGCAGCCGAACCTGTGCCGCAGGGCGTGCGCCTTACAGCGCAGGGCGTCTTTGATGAAGGACTTGCCCTGAGGGTGGAGAACAGAGGAGGGGAGAGGGGGCGGGAGATAGGAGTCCTGGTTACATGCAGACAGGGGCCCTCTGGGGCTCACCCAGAGCTTTCTGACACCTGAACCCCCAGGCCCGGCTGAGGACGGACACCCTTGCAGCTGACAGGCTGGTGCTTCATCCGAGGTGTGTCTGGAGTGACGGGCCCTCTGGCATTTGGCCAGAGAGGCTGCTACTTGGGGAGACTCCCAGGTCTGCCTCCTCCTACTAGTGTCCCTCGTGCTGGGGCTGCCGTGGCCACCTGTCCCCAAGGCAGACAGACCAGGCCGGCTGCTTTGTGGCAACTTTTCTGGGACACAAGGGGACGGAAATCCCAAATTCCTTGGCGGTTCCCAGCAGCGTTTTCCCCAAGTAGAAGGTGCCTGCTTGTCCAGACCTCCCGCCGTCCCTCTGTCCTCTGAGCCCAGGAGTGACATCGAGGTGGGCTGCCGCCTGGGTCTGTCGGGCCGCCGTGCCTCCCAGCACCCCAGCGCACACTCTTGTCTCCCGGTCCTGGAAGGAGGAGCATTCTTTTCCTCTTTGAAAGTGATTGACTCCTTTAAGCCGTTAGGATGGCTGCCTCTAAAGGCCGGCCTGGCACGGGGCCTGGGAGCGTCTGGCCCCGCGGCAGCCCCTCCCCCGGCCAGGCAGCCAGGCATACATCTGGCCCGCACTTCTCTTTCCTGGCAACCCGGGAGGTTGCTCTCATCCTAGAAAGGAGACAGCTGTTGGGGGTGTGGAGGCGAGCAGGGCTGCAAGTCAGCTCCCTTACCAACCTCGGGGGCAGAGAGGCATTGTGGGATGCCCACCCCACAATTACTATAGAAACGAGCTGTCCTTGGAGAGGTCACCCTGTTTTTAGACAGGCCCGGAAGGAGCGGAGTTGGGAAAGGAACCGGGTTTAGGTTGGGATTGGGAAGCCAGCCAGCACGTTTATTCCGGTTCTCTCCCTCAGAAGCCATCGAAATGTCTACGCATAGTGTCTAGGCACTGAGCACCACCCCGTCGGCCCCCCTCTCCCCTAACTCTCAGGGGGAGTCCAGTAGGATGGAGGGCAGGGCGTGCCAGCTCGTGAAGTCGTTAGGCATCGCGAAGGGCCTTGAAAGGGATGCTTCTAACCTGAGAACATACTCCTGTTGGAGAATCAAAGGGAAGGTTAGTTTATGCGACGGCTGCGGCAATCTGCTCTCCGTGTTCCTCCCTGACGTCCCCTGGGATGGCCCTGTTCGTTCCTCCGGATTTCCCACTGCGTTTCCTAATCCCAGTGAACCCGGCAGGGACGCGTTAGCGGGAGCCTCAAGGAGCCCAGAGGCACAGCCTCGCGCTGTGGCGGTTTCTGTTTCCCCTCCGCCACCCCACACCCTCGGCGGGGTGGGCTGCCAGCGGGCGCATCCCGTTCTGGTTCCCAGGCATGGCTCTGTCGGGCTCTCCACAGGATGTCAGTGGATGGTGACTGGCGATGTTCATAAATCACCCCGAAACTGCTGGCCTCCTCCAAGTGCTGTCATCACCCGCCGGGGAAGTGGGAGAGGAGGTTTAGGAGAGAGAACAACAGAGGGTTTCACGGGGGGTCTAGAGCAGGGTGGGGAACCTTTATTCCTGCCAAGGGCCATTTGGGCATTTATAACATCATTCACGGGCCATACAGAATTGTCACCTTAAAAACTAGCCAGCTGTATTTGGCCAAACATTTAATGAACTCACCCCCAATGCCTTGGCAGGGCCAGACCAAATGATTTCCCGGGCCTTATACGGCCCGCGGGCCGGGCGTTCCCCACCCTGGTCTATGGGCCGGCGAGGACACGAAGAAGGTGAGCCTCACGCCATCTGAAATGTATTTGGGTGGTCAGCCCTGGAGCCCTCGGGTTGCGTGCGGGTTCTTTTCCTGCCCCACGCGACTGGGTTTGCCCTTGGGAGCCTGGCACCACCTAAGTGGGTCAGGCCCTGCCTATATTTATTATATAGAGCAAAACACCGCGTAGCATTGCCAGCCTCACTCGGGGTTCTGACTTTTCAGGTTGGGGAGGAGGGGCTGCTGCTTAGGAGGAAGGTAAGCCTGCGGTTCTGGGGGCCCTGACTTCTCCGTGCTGCCTGCTCACACACCCACTGGGGAAGGGTGGGTTTCTCCCAGCGCTGTGTCTCCCTATCCTTGCCCGTTGGGGAGAATAGCGTGTGGGATATATGATTGACGTCTCTGCCCTTCCCCTCTCAACCTCGCGCTCCTAACGTGATGGCCATGCAGAGCAGGCCCTGGGTGGCTGACACAGTGAGCCCCGTACAGCGGCTTATCATGCCTTTGTCTTCTTGGCCAGGACTCCCCGGATAATTGTTCTACGTGGCCTCCACTCCGCGCTGCCTGTGCAGACACAGGTTGAGTGGGAAGGATTTAGCCTAGATGACAGCTCCAGATGTGCAGGGCAGGAGTGGGGGACACTGCCCCCCTCTCCCCCCCGCCCCCCCCCTCCCGTTCTACCTAGAATGCCGCTTGCAGGTGATAGAACGCACCACGCTGAGCAGCTCAGGAAATCTGTTGTCTAGTCTTTCCAGTCACCACGTCATTCATGCTACACCAACCCCAGACATCCCCCGGGCTCTCTATGGTGTTTACCTGGGCGTCAAATTTTCCAGCATTGTGCAGAAAAGTCATGCAGATCCCATGCAGGCCGCGGATTTCACATGAGTTGTTCTCGAAACACTCGAACACGCCACAGCCCACATCGCCAGCGCTGACCAGGCAGTGCTGGATCTCCGCTGAAATGAGAGTTACACACAGAGCTATACAAAACCCTCAGCCGTGCTGCAGAAGGCAGGAGGTGAGCTGAAATAAAAGTAACGACAAAAAAAAAAAAAAAAAAATTAAGGGGGAAGAAAGTTAGAATGAATATCTCAGGATCTAAAAAGCCAAGGAAAGAAAATGCCACCATTTATTCTACTTATGAAAAAGAGCCGTAGTTGTAAATATTTGTAAAAAATTAGCCACACTTACGTTACAAAGACCACAACCGGAAGGTAGGTTTGAGCACCTCACTCCTTCCTCCCCATCTTATTAAGGTGCTTGTGGGAGTTCTTAGCTTGAGAACATTGGATAGTTCGGCTTTCTACAGCCACAAAGTCTGATTTTAAATGATTAGCTTGCTCCTCTGTAGGCCATCAGTGAAATGCCCTTCTCTACTTGGAGCTTGAAGCTGCTGCTATTAAATCCCAGTCATTTCCTTCCTGACCCCCAAATGTGAGCGTCCAGGGAGCACTTTCAATTCCGCCTTATGATTCAACACCGAAAATACCACCACAAAACTCCTGTGAAGGCAGCGCCTCTGACCATGGCCTTAAGAACACCAGGCTCGGGAAAGGGCTTTCGGAGCAGGCTGCGCATGGGGCCGTCAGACGGGGGCTGGCCTGCAGAAGCGCAACCTCGTAGCCAGAGCCGCCTTGCACTTATTTATTTACTTTTTATATATGTTTGTTGATTTCAGAGAGGGAGGGGGAAGGAGGGGAACATCAATGCTGAGAGGGAATCCTTGATGGGCAGCAGGGGCCAGAGACTCCTTTTAAACAGAGATCCGGCTGAGATGCCACTTAATCCCCTAGAATCCTAGAGACTGGGTTTGCTGCCCTCTTTCGCAAAATGTGGCCCTAATTCCTCCCTCTGACAGGACAGGCCAGGGAGTTAGCTGCCGCTCCACGCTTCTGTCCCCCCCGACCCCCGAATTGCACGTCTGTAACCACAAAATTACATCCAAAAAGTGTATTTTGGAAGAAGGAAGGGGTAGGAGTAGATAATCCGCATTCAGTGTAGAGCTACCGAGAGGAGGAGGGGCGTGTATTTGTTGAGAGTCACCAACTCCAGAGATTAA